TTTGGGAAATCTAAATAAGTCAAACTACAGCGGGAAGGCTTGGAAGGGTTGGGGGGGTGGGTAAGAGATCAACCGAAGGGCTTGTATGCATGCATATAAGCATAACCAATGGACACAAGACACTAGGGGTTATGGGAGGCTAGGGGAAGGTCAAGGGGAGAAAAAAAAAGGAGACATATATAATACTCTTTGTAATACTTTAAGTAATAAAACAATTTAAAGAAAGAAGGGCTCATTCCTTCTTTATGAATTACTAGGAGCACAGGGCCTGATTGGAAATAGTGTGGTGCCGCCCACTCCCTCTCCGGCCCTTGAAGCAGCCAAAGCCGCTGCTGATCAGGTCCTCCCCCAGCACAGATGCGAGAAGGCCCCTGCCACCCCACCCCTGATACTGCACACGCAAGCTCCTGTCCGGTCGACCCTTTATGGCGCCCTGGTTAATTAGCATATTTCTCTATTATATATATAGATATTATGACTCTTCTCTCTCCCCATCTTTTTATTCATGTCCAAAAGTGTCTTTGATGTGGGAGTGCAGAACACTGTGTGTCCTACTCACTAGCAAGTCTGAGCAAAAACCAACCTATATTTGGTGCTGCACCTGAAATGTCCTAGGGATTGGGAATTATTTTGTTAGAAGTCACAACAGTGCTGTCCCAAGGCTCAGAACCATTTGGATACCTTCCTGGAGTAACCCATTGTACTTCCTGGCTTTATGTTGGGCTTGTTGACTGAAAGGGTTGGAACAGATGGGAAATTTGGGCTTTGGGTTGGGGGAGGGATATAAACCAGTTTAAAAAATAAAGCATTTTACCCCTGACTTAACTACTCCCAAATGGCGTTTTCTTGGCTTTTCTCTCTTATATTTTGTACCATTTGATATTTTGATCAGGTGCTGCTGCTTGAACTCTTGACCTTGGCTTTTGTGAGATTGTACTCCTTGGCATTCTAATTATGTGGTGACAGCTCTATTTAGTTTTGTTTCTCTGGATATTCTTCTTATCCTTACCTCCCATTGTTGTTGTTGCCCTAGGTTTCTGGCCTTCTTTCTAAGCACTTTCTTCCAGGGCAAAATTCCTTGGTTTTCACAATTTCTTCTGGGCCATTGACTCATAAACCTGTATAGCTATTTCCTATAACCTCTCTTGATCTTTAAATCTACCTGCATATCTTGCCGACCCCTACAATTCAACATATTAAAGAGAATATTTGTCATCTTTCTCCCTCTCCCAAGCTAGCATTCCTCATGTTTTAATTATGTTTAGGATTATTATTTTCCTAAAACTAGATTTAAGAACCTTCAGACAGACTCCAGCCCACCTTTTCAGCCATCCTTCCACCCCCAACTGCCCTTCTCCAGCCCTTTTCAAACTTTACTACATTTGCCATCAAAGCTCACATAGTCCTCACCTATGAGACTTTATTTAATGTCATTCCTCTGCCTCAACTGTCCTTCCTCTTCCCTGTTGTATCTTTTATAATCTTACTCATTTTTAAAGCCTATAGTAAGTGCCCCTCAACACTTCTAGAATCTAGTAAGCACATATTATTCTTCCTTCCTCTGAAATCTTGAACTAGACCAGCATATACTAGGCATTGTACTAGGCACTGTACATCCATCACTCAGTTCACCCTGTCTATAATTCTGCGTGTGAGGCAGGTATTGTACTTTTTTGTATTCCAATTACATGCTAAAAGTTTATTTTGGTTTGTTTCTCTGGTTTCTTGTCTGTTCCTCACCTCCTTTTGTCACTGCTACTTTCTAAAGTAGCAAAGCCCAGAAATTGAAACTAGATTTACTGGCCCTTAATGACTTCTGCATATTCCTTGAATGGCATTCACTGATGGTACTCAAAAGGCCTTTGACATCAGGTAAGGACTATGGCTGAATCACAGTAAGTAGAGCCCTACACCCAGTGGGAGCTCACTGATTGAGAGATGGATGATAAATGGATGATCAGAGAAAAGTGTAGCAAGTTAAAAATCAATCCTGTACACAACAAAAAAGAGATTTAAAACCAATTTCCAGCCCCGATTTAGTTTACTTTTAAAAGAACTCAGAGGATGGCGGGGGTGGGGGGGAGGGGAGCATCACCTTACTCCTGCTTAAAGTTGTGACTAGAGAGCACAGGTGCCCTATACACCTAGCATCTCTTTCTGGATTAATCCTCCTCACGTTATATGAACACACATCTGTCAACTCTTGGTTCAGTGTTTTATAGCTCATGAAGTAAGTGAGGATATAGAATTATTCCCATTTAATAGGTGAATAAACTGAGACCCAGAGGCAGCATAATTTATAAGAGCAGAAACTCTAGAGCTAGAGTGTCTCTGCATTTTAATTATGGCATCAATACCTATTGGCTGTGTAAATGTGAGCTTTAGGTTTTTTTTTCATCTGTAAGAGAGTAATATTAGTATCTCCTCAGTGTTGTGTCTTAAGTGAGTTAAGGTGTGTAAAGTGCTTAGAATAGTGCTTGACCTATTGAGTACTTTATATCAACTAATTTTATCATCATTATTATTATACCTTTAGCAAGAAGTAGAGCAAGGTCTTAAATCTGGGTGACTTTTTCTACCTCCTCTATGGTGTTATGTTGGAGCAAAAATAGATCCAGAAAGCTGGCCATCAGATGACCATAAGCAAGTCACATCTGCCATAGTATACCTGATTTATAAAATGAGGGCTGACGGGTGATAATCTTTAAAACGCTGTATAGTTCTGACTCTCATTGATTCCAAATAGGTCTTGACAACAGGTTTTCCCATTGGTTTGTGGCCACTGGATACTGGATTGGCTTGACCATGGCATAGCTGGGCTATCTGACCTGAGGACCCAGACAAGTCAACTGGACTAAATGGATGTAAGAGTGAGGCAACTGCTCCTGGGAAAAACCAACCATGGAATCCCTAATAAGAAAAGTTCACTGTAAAAAGAGCACAGACAGTGGAATCAACCAGATCTGAGCCAAGGGGTCCTCAAACAGCACCACAGATAGCATCCTGAGCAGGGTGTTGGTAACTGATGCTAATATATTCTTTTGACTCTTGGTAAAAAGCCAAGGATGTAGCTTTAAACCACAAACCTTCATGATGCTCTGAGTTGATGTTGTATGTGCTTACAGAGACTTCTGTATAAGGATTTATTTTATTGAGGCCAGTGATCAGCAATTCTCCACTGAGGCAAGAACAAGAAGAAATTGACTTTTAATGTAGTTGGGGAAAAAACAAGTTCAACATAAAAATAAATCTCCTCATAGGTAGGAGCATCCTTAAAGGTGGCTGTTCAACTCTCTTTGTTTAGGTTCTTTAAGAATAGGAGCCATCTGGTTTATGATATTATGGATGGAGTTCTATGAATTCAGTATAGCTAATTAGTAAACATTAGTAGTCCAGTATGATGGGTTATAAGACTCCATAATTTATTACTTGTGTGATTGGCCAAAGGACCAGGCCGCCTCTTTGAACCTGTTTTAAATATGGAAACAGCTCATTCAGGAAGGATCAAGTGATTCAGTACATTTGAAAACATTTTGTAAACAGTAAATCATGAGGTACTTGAAAGGTGGTGCTATAAACAATCCTATTGAAAATCTCTCTAACATTCATGCTGAGGAGCTCCCTAATACTTAACCTTCTCTGGAAGGAACAATAGCTAGAAACCTGAGCAGTGAAGGATGCACCAGGCAGGAGCTGACCAGTAGTTTTATTTTCTGGCTGGTATGTTGGCAGGTAGACCTGTGTGACAGGATATATGTTCTATATCCTGTCTCTGTTGTCTTTGAATTGTTTTGTCAGGAGCCATGTTGCCTTGGGAAATTAGTCCTTCCTCAAAGCAGACTGATGAAAAAGGTGACTTCTAGAGGAAAAGTTCAGCTATTCATTTCTGGGGAGAGAGTACTTGAGTCCTTTGCCTGACAGGCCATATGTTCTCTATTCTGGAATCTGTTTCTGCAAATGCCAGGGAGACTCATGGCCCATACTGGCAGGAACCAGTTAGGGGGAAAAAGAGAACAAATAATACAGTGGTCAGGATGGTAGCCAGAAAGAGGCAGACTATTTACCTACCCCATCCTCATCGTTGTGCTTAGATGAATGTTGTGAACATGTTCATGTGTGTATTCATGTGGCAGAGAGATATATATCTGCCTGCTGCTGTGTGGAGCCCAGTCCTAATGACCACAAAGTTTAATGACCAGTGTTAGGGTCTGTGAACAACCCCAGCCTTGCTGGGTGACCCTGAGCTCACCCCTTAACTTCCCTCTGGCTCAGTTTTGCCATCTATCAAATGCAGAAATCAACCTACACTTCTCTATGTATATCACAGGGTGGTTGTACAAATCACTGAATGAATCTGTGCCAAGGTTGAGTTTCTTTGGAGCAAGTCATCACAGAAAGCCATATTCTTTCACACCCATGACCTCTCTGGATGGCATCATGTGTGGGTGGCAACCAGGAGGCTGCAGGACTGGGGTCCATTGTATGTGAGGAATGCCATGGTCTGTAACCTCTGGGGGTGGGATACAGTGGTGTTAAAAATGTACCACCAACTCTCAGTTGGTGAGTTACAATGAAGAGGAGGAAAGGGAGAGGAGTGCAGAGAATTTAGAGCAAATGTGCTCGAGCCTTGTTTTAGCATTGATTTCAGCCTCTCTCCCCATTCCAGACCTTCAGCTGCCTTGAAGATCCAAGGAAAGATGGACTGGTGCTTTCTTTCTTCACTGGGGGAGGAGATAATGTGTAGGGATAAAACATGAGGCCTATGTAGTCCATATTCACATTCTGGGTCATTCCACTCACTGTCTAATGTAGAGTTGACAGTATTGTTTGCCTTATAGTTTAGTGCTGTTTGTACTTCCAGTGCCATCTCTCTTACCCCCAGTCTTCACCACTAGTATGTGACTTTTCCCATAAAGTAGTAGAGCTCTATGGATGGGGTAAGCGGGCAAGTAAGATAGCCAGCTGTGTGGACTGAAAACATTCTCATTTTGTCTCCTAAGCTGATCACTGGAGATTCCATCGTTAGTGCTGAGGCAGTATGGGATCACGTCACCATGGCCAACCGGGAGTTGGCATTTAAGGCTGGCGACGTCATCAAAGTCTTGGATGCTTCCAACAAGGATTGGTGGTGGGGCCAGATCGACGATGAGGAGGGATGGTTTCCTGCCAGCTTTGTGAGGGTGAGTGTCAGCCTTCACTCTCCTCTCCTGTCTCCTTGTCTGTCTGCACCGGATTTCCCCTCACCAGCTCCTGTTCTACTGATAATTTATCTCACGGAGGCGCCTCTCACATTTTACTTCATTTTGTGGTCTCCTACCCCTGACCTAGACTTCCTTTATTTTTTTTTTCTTTCTAATTTTGAAACTTTATATTTTTTTCTTGTTTATTTTAACAATCCCCACCTACTGCCTCTGCCTCCTACCTGCTGTGACTTTATACAAATTGCTTCCCTTTTGGCCTTGTTGGTTTTTAAAGACCATTTTAACTATATTGCTGTGAATTTTACTTTCTTACCTCTCTTATTTTCTGCTGTCTTTTTGTCCTTGCCTCCTCTTTTTCATTCTTTCTTTTTATACATCTCTCCCCTCCCTCCTTTCTCCTCCTAACTTTTCTGTTCTTCCTTTCTCTCATTTTGGGACGTGTGAACACACCTGTATATTGTCTCAGGATTGTCTTCAGTTGTTAATGTATGAGTGTGGGCTTTCTATTTTCTCAGGGGCTCTAGTTTACTGATTAGAATCTTACTTTTTGCAAGAGATTCAAGCGGCTGGTATCTAAGATGTGCTATGAGTGGGAAGCAAAAGCCTTGGACCATTTTACATTGTACCATGAAGAACGTGGCCCTTAAAAAAAGGGACTATTAGAAGAGGGCTCCTTAGCAGTTTCTTATTCTTCTGGGTCATCAATTAGTAAGATGCTATGGGAGAAGAGCATTGGTCTGGTGACCCAGCTTTCGACCATATTTAAGAGTTAAGAGCTTGAATCAGATCTTTGGGAATTATGAGCTCTGATTTTCTCCATCCACAAAATGGTCTTGGCAGGGTATGTCATAGTGAATGAGAAAATACACGCACACACACACACACACACACACACACAAGCTTTGTGGACACCAAATTACCAATGCCATATTAGGATGTCTTATCATTATCCTTACAACAGTCTATCACCTTTTGTTAATTTCTTCTGTAAAATAAGGCTAAATTCCTGACCCAAACCAAAGATCAGAGTGGCTTTGACTTTTGGACAATAAAGGGCCTCAAGATTAGAATGACAGCTGTGTGGCATGAAGGAAGGAGCAGGGTATTTGGAATCAGACAACTGAGAGTCAGCCTCAAGTTTTATTACCTTTTAGTTCTATGGCTTTTGGTAAGACTTTTCACCTCTTTGAGACCCAATTTCCTGGTTTGAACAATAGGAATAGCAGACTTTTTACAAGGATTAAATAAAACCACATACGTGAGTAAAGTGTCTAGCTCAGTGCTTGGTATATAGTGGGTGCTTGACAAATGCTAACTTGCTTAATCATCATCTTTATCTTCATCCTCATCACTACCAACCCCTTATTAAATCCAAAAAGATCTATATATCAAGACTGGCCATATTGTTTGGAATAAGTCTCCTTTCTTGGAGGGTGCAAACCCAGGAAGCACCGTTAACTGGTTGGAATGACTTAGGTGAGGGCACTGGTCAGAAGCAGAGAGGTGGACAAAGTGACCTCTTATTCCCTCTGACCTGAGAATCTCCTAATGAAATATCTAATCTTTTTTTCATCCATGTATGTGGCATCTTTCACCAGAGTCTTCAAATGCCATCTGTTTCCCAGCTCAGCTTTGCTCGTTGATGAATTGGTCCCAGTGGTAGTCAGAAAGAGCACATCAATAACCATGGGCCTTTGTAAGTAACACGAGGCCCTGTACACAAACAGCTTGTGTGTCTTAGAATGACAGTTCCCCCTCTTTAAAAGAAGGATTAAATTGCACCTTGTAACAATGTCACCCAAATCCAAATGTATTTCACTTTTAGTGAAATGTCATTTTTGTAATAAGCAGTACATCAAGGGGCGGGACAAAAATGAATGAGGAAGGCAGAATGGCTCTGGGAGGCAAATGACAGAGCCAGGCTTTAGAATATAAATGAGCTGGCATTGATGCTCCTACATCCAAGGCCAGGAGGAGCGTTACTCTGAGCACAGTTGAAGCAGCCACTTGGGTGGGCTGAAACTAATGTTTAAGAACACCCCTGGCTGGCCCAGGAATACATGATATAGAGTCTAGTCTATTGGTTCTCAGTTGCATAGTGAAATTATTACCTTGAGTAGTTTAAAAAACAAATAAACACTAAAACCCAGGTTCCAGGCTGGTCAAGTCAGAATCTTTGATATTGAGAACCATTGTTCTAGACAAGCACAGCCCAATAGAAATATATTGTGAGACACAAATACAAGCCACACATATAATTAATTTTTTTCTACTAGCCACACTAAAAAAAAAGTTTTAAAAAAGGTAAAAGTGAAATTAATTTTAATATATTTATTTAATCCAGTCTATTCAAAATATTATCATATAATGTCTATAATAATAAAAGCATAATATGCAAGTCAACTGAAAGGCTGAACAGTGGAACGACTGTCTGGACGTCCTTCTGGACAACCTTCCAGATGAAGTCGGGGCTATGAAGGCCTATTCTTGCATGAATTTTGTGCATAGGGCTTCCAGTATAATATAATACAGTATCACTACAAAATTATTAATTACATATTTTGCTAAATCTTTGAAATCTGGTGAGTATCCTATACTTACAGCACATCTCTATTCACACTAGTCACATTTCAGGTGTTTGTTAGCCATATGTGACTAATTGCTATTGCATGAGATAGCATAAGATAGCACAAACATAGAGCAGGATTTTTAATGGCAGAGCCTAAATCATAACTTAGAGTTTTAATACTCTTTCTACTATACCAGTGATTATTCTGTGAGAAACTAAGCATTCCCTGTTGCATCAGATTGCATTCAGAATGAGAATTTATTTATTATAAAACTTTTTTGTTTGTTTTAGTAATACTCTAATGGTCTTCAGATTGCTAAGGGAAGTATCATGGAACTTAGGAGCCAGGTGTTATGGTATTGCCAGTAAAAGGAAATTTGGGTAGGCTGCTGTTGGTATGAATGATGTGAATATTGGCTCCTAGGTAGACCTTTCAATTCTCATGAATTAGTGTTTACGTGTAGGTTTACATTCCTAGTAACATTGTATGATAATTAAGGGATTAAATTATGGAGGTTATGCAAGGAACCTCTTTTCTAGTAGATATTTTAAAATAAAATTGCTGTTTTCATTCCTCTACATAAGTAATTTTCAACCTTTTTCATCTCATGGCAATACAAACTAATTACTGCAGTGTTGTGGTACACCAAAATATGTTATATTTTTTGCCAGTCTGACAAAAATAGGTATAATTTTGATTCAGTCACACTGGATAGTTGTGTTGGCTGTTGTCATTTTTTAATTTGACAATTTAAGGGAAAAGAGATCAGTTCCCCAGACTAAATAGTCAGGTATTGCTTGTTTTAAAAATTATTGCAGCACATTAGTGTGCTTGCCGTGACCCACTGGTTGAAAATTGCTGCTGTACATTGATTTTTGGTTGAGCGTAGAATGGTATTGTAGAAACACTGCTAACTGTATTACACATATTTGGTATATGATCATGGGCTTTTATTTTTCTCCATTTCTAAAGCATTCTCTAAAATGTATTCAGGTTCTGACATATCTAGGTAGGACATAGAGATAAATCACACTGACCTATTGAATCTTCATTAGTGATATAGTTGGTAGGCAGATGGGCCATTTCATGGGATGCTATACCTCCATGTTATAGGATAGTTACTTCGTTTATCCAGACTGACCCTGAGCTGAGATTCAGTAGCTCCTGGAGAACATCAGTACTAGGTTATTTGGCATATGACATAAAAGCATATAGCAAAGAAAAGACTTTTGCCTAACTCCATACCAACTGGACACCTTTGTAGATCATTGCACAAAATTTGTAACTAATTTAGCAAGGCACCTTCATTCCTTAAATAGAAGTCTCATTGCTGTATGAACATCCCAGGTTTAGAACAGTAATCAAGGGTGTTTTGTGAAGTATTGTCCAAGCTAGCCCTGATAGTAATCAGATTAAAGACTGTAGAGTTTGAGATTCTTGTCTCAGTCTGTTACTAGTTGTGCAGCTTGAGCAGCTTCCTGTACATCTTTGAAGCTCAGTTTTTCTCCTTGCAAAATGGGGATAATTGAGTCTTGTGAAAATCCTTTTTAAACTGTGATACGCTGGATACCTGTAAATAGGAAGTGTAATACCATTTTGGCGATTGTACAAGAAATTGCTGGGTACATGTTTTTCTACTCAGTCAAATATTTGCCTTCTCAGTTATTCAGAATTTTATTTTGTATGTGTATAACATGTATGTGTGTGTGTGTTCTCCCTTTTGTACTGGGGACAACATATCTTCACCAGAGCCATTCAGGAGTTGATGTAACTTCCTAGCAGTTGGTCAGGTTAAGTAAATTACAGCTTACTGAATATCAGTTTCCTTATCTAGCTATTGACATCTTCAGCTGTTTTCCTAGCCTGGTCTCCCTCCCTGGAAGCTGAGAGCAGACTGTTGGGATATTATTGTGTCTCCAAATGGTAAAACTCAACCCTGTGGTGGAGCCTCCTTTTGAATTATAGGCCCTAACTCCAAATTATAGAGGCATTTTTACTTTGTTAACATGTAAAAAGGAACCCTTGTTCTGACTCTGGTCTATGGCCTGCAGAGGGCTTGCTTCTACTTTGAGACAAGCTGTGTACAGAACACATGACATCCAGTTATTGTTAGTGGTAGGCAAGGCCTGCATGACAAGGCATGGATTTGGTCAGACTCTGCTCAGATTGCATCAGCATATATATTCTTTGTTTCTTCAAATTTTAGATTTATCTGGTTTTAGGCCTGCCTGGAGACAGGGGGATGAAAGGATGAGCTAATCAAGTCATTATCATTTTTTTGCAGTTGAATAGATCATATGTCACAGAAAATAAACCTCTCCTGTTCATAAGGATACCCACTGTTCCAAAGTGTTAATTGACTTTTAATTACATAGCATCTCTTCTTGACTGCACTTGGGGAACACTTTT